GATCATGGATTGAGAGCCAGAAGGGACCTTAGTGGATGAGTCCACCCTCTTCATTTTATAAATGGTGAAACAAAGGTTAAGTGACTTGCCCAGGGTCACACAGCTAGTAAGTGTCAAGTGTTTGGTCTGAGGTCGGATTTGAACTCAGGACCTCCTGACTTCAGGGCCACTTCTCTATCCACTGCGCCAGCTAGCTGCCCAGAAGTTAGTCTTTTTGATTCAAGTCCAGCACTCTCTTCTGTCAAGATCCCCATCAAATAACCTAATGCTTTTGAACTAGTTGAATCCATATCTTGCTATTTGGCAGTTGGGGAAACAGGAAAATATTAAGTGGCTGCATGAAGTAGTGGAAAGGGAACTGAACTAAATAAAATTCAAGAGAGATGTCAATTCTAGCCTTGGTGCTACCCCAGCTGTGCCTTCCCTCTCTTGATTATCTTTTATTTATTCTCTGTCTGTCTTCTTTTTACATAGTTTTTTTAAATGTCATGTCCTCCATTAGACTGTAAGCTCCTTGAGAACAAAAATTGCCTTATGCCTTTCTTTGCATCCCTACCATGTAGCACAATGCCTAGCACGTAGTAGGTGTTTAATAAGTATTTGTTGACCCACTGATTGGAACTGCCTCTTATCTCGCTGTGTGGCTTTGGGCAAATTCTTTTTATTTCTCAGGAGGCCTCCTACTTTTAAACTGTAAAACCCATGAAGTCAAATGAGAGATGAGGTTAATATATTTTTCAGTCATCTAACAGTCTATTAATCTACAGCTACCATTTAAAATATCTGGCTGCTATTTAGAAACATTGTACCTACAAATACATAATTCAACCTCCTTAAAAAATAAATGTAGATACAACCGTTTGAAATTCCCAACTTCAGCCAACTAATAATAATGACAGTTTTATAACTCAAATGTGCTAATAAGCATTTGTACAAAATGAAGCAAATGGATTATGATTAGAGTTTTCATTTAGATGTCCATGGGGTGTAGCAGCCCAGTGTTTAACTCAGAAGAACTAGATGACTGAGTTAAAGTAAAAATCAACCTGTCAGATTTTCCTGATGTGATAACAATAAAACATACAACTAGGTAAAAGGTATAACAGGAGAGAACGTCTCATTCTTAGGTGTTCTAAATAATTTGCTAGAGTTTTTTAAATTGTAACCTCTTATCTGGGCAAGGTCACTGATGACATCAGTGATAGTTAATAAAAAAGCTACTAATTTATTTCAATTAAACACCCAGTAGGAGAGCTGCAGCCTTGTGTCACTTGGGAATTTCATTCCCTTCCCCTGCCTCCATCTCACATCCACCATGAGTCCCGAATCATCTCTGGTTTCAAGAATTTGAACCTCAGTTAGATATTTCTTCCTAAAGATTTAGAGCTCAAGTCTGGGCTTTGGACAAAAGGAATTAGAGGTGATAGGGACATTTTGTACTCCCTCCACCCCATTTTCTAGCTAAGGAAACCCAGAAAGACAGACTTTCCCAAAGAGCAGATTCAAACCCAGGTCTTCTGATTTCTTCTCATAACATCATGCTGCTTTTTAAGCAAGGGGGTCAGCCTGCACTTAAAAGAAGACTAGGGAGAGAAGCAGAAATTCTGTGGGCCTGCAAGCAGGGAGGTTCAGGCAGAGAAGAAACTGATCATGCGGAAATACCTGGTAAACACCGTTTGGGCTTCAGTGTATGAGAGAAATGAGGAGAGGCACATTGTCTCCAGTCAGAGCTCTCTCCCCAGCCCCAGCTCCATGGACTTGAATGTGATTAATGAGGAGCCAAAGAGCCTGCAGGGCTCAGAATGAAGACTTTTTAATGGAGAAGTGTCTTTATTACAGACAAATCCATATTACTTCCCCAACAATCATTTATCAAAGCTGTGATTTGACTCTCTCCAATTAAACTGTAGAGCACTGGACTCAACTCGAGATCAACCAGCTGTAACTTGCCATTGCTACAGCTAACTGCTGAGGATGGGAATTCCCGCTTCTTTCCCCACTTACCTCATCCGTTCAATGTCTTCTTCCTGCTAGGTTTTTACCTTTGATTATTCTAAATGTTAAGAAGAGTTCAGACCTCTGGATGGTCACCGAAATCCTTTGAGTAGAATAAGATAAGTCTCTGGTGCCATTAGCAACCAAGTACATTAAATAAGTTTAAAGGGTATTTAGAATGAATAAAGAAATAAGGTTCTTAGATCACTTAACAAGGAAGAATGCAGGGTCACAGATTTAGAGGTCAAAGGGACTTTGGAAGGCATTTAGTCCAACCTTTCCCCACTTTTACAGATGAGGAAACTGAGACCCAGAGAGAGGTTCAATGACTTTTTCAAGATGGCATCTCTGGGAGAAGAGAAAAGTAAGACTCAGAAAGATCAATGACTCAAATAGTTATAGCTAGAAGGGACGATCCTAACTTTATAGTTGAGGTTATTCAGACCTAGAAAGTTTTAGTGGGAAGGGGAAGGGGAAATAAGGTTTTACAGATTACCTCCTATGTGCCAGGTACTATACTTAATATTTTTTTACAAATATTGTATCATTTATAAATATTATTTCATTTGATCCTCACAATGACCCTACAAGAGTAGCACCTGATAGCAGGAGATGGATGATGGTCCAGCAAAAGAAACAGAGAAGGAATAGTCAGATAGGCAGGGAGAGAACCAGGTGAGGGTTAGTATCATAAAAATTTAGGAAGGGGTAGAATAGAGTGGGGAAAAGCACTCAATTTGAAGTCTGAGGACCTGATCTCTGGTACTTACTGGCTGTGTGACCTTGGGCAAGTCACTTAACTTCTCTCTGGACCTCAATTTTCTCATCTATAAAATTGACCTAGAGGATGTCTAAAGTCCCTGCCTGCTCTGAATCTTTGTTCCTATTGAGAGTGTACCTAGAAGGAGTACACCTAGAAAGTGGTAGATGATGTTAAATGTGACATAGAGGTCACATAGATATAGACAAGGACAAAGAGGAATAAGAAAAGGCCACCAAGTTTACCAGTTAAGAAACAGCTGGTAACTTTTGAGGGAGAAGTTTCAGTTATACCAGTGGGCTCAGAAGCCATATGGCAAAGGATAACAAAGTGAGTGGGCAAGGAGGAAGAGGCATCAGTGAATACAGATGATCTTTCTAGGAGTTTGGCAGTAAAATGGGAAGACATATATGACTAGAAGAATGACAGGGTGACATTAAATGAAGGTTTTATTTTGTTAGGAAAGTGGAGGAAATCCTGGAGATATTTGTAGACAGTGGTTAAGGAGGAGGCAACAAGGAGAGACAGAGACACAAACACAGGAGAAAGAGAGAGGGAGGGGGAGAGACAGAGAGAGAGAGAGAGAGAGAGAGAGAGAGAGAGAGAGAGAGAGAGAGAGAAATT